TCTTTTTATAATTTTTCTATTACACTGATCAAAATTATTAGTAAACAACGCGTGTATAATTAGCTCTATAGCTTGTTATTAATAAGATAACAATCTACAAAGAATGTTGTACTTAAAAACTTATATTAATTACAAATATTGTAACCGATTATAGGTATAAGTTTTTAAATAATTATTATTAAAAACAAAGTTTTATAAAATTGTTAAATGAAATATTTTTGTTAAAACTTTTAAATTTATGGAAATTAGAACAAATTAATAATTCAAGAATTTTTCAAAATTTTTAAATAATATTTTTGATGATATTCTATTCCTTTTTTTAAAAAAATATTTAATTTTCGATGTTCTTATCTAATACATATACATAAAAAATAATGGATAGAAACAGTAAATAAATTTATTTTTGCAAAAATGCAATAATACATTTGAAACATACAATTGAATTTTGTAATGCAATTACATTTAATTTTAAATCAATAGCAATTTTGGATTTAATAGCTGAATATATACAACATATAATAGCATATTTCCATTAACAAGACAACTTCTTTTTAGAATTATAAAAATTTATTATAAACATAAGAATATATAGTGTCTTATTCTAGTTGCATTGTAAAAGTATAAATTTTGAAATATTAACTTATTGTTACTATTTTGAAACTTATTTTATTTTACTTTAATTTAAAATTGTAATTATTATTATTTCATTTTAGTTTATTTAAAGTCACATTAAAGAAAATATAAACGTTTTACAGCCTCTTATGTTCATCCATGTGGCCGCACTGACCCTAATTATGATCAATGCATTGCGGGCAATATCAACAATATAAAAGATAAGATCTGCACAGGGCTACCGGAATTTGACCTTTCTCCAAGCGAACCATTAATGATTGATAAAGTATTTGTCTATGATACAAATGATCTTAAATTATATTTCACCGATGGAAAAATATATGACTTTTGTGATTTCGTCGTAAACTCCGTTCGCACAACACCTGATAGACTTCACTTCGAATTTGACGCTATTCTCAAGAAAATTCGCATAGAGGGTTTGTACGATTTTGACATACATCTACTGGTGAATCTTGCTAATAAGGGACCAGTTACCATTACAGCAGGTATGTAAAAA